GGGGAGGAGGTTGGGCAGTCTTTTGAATATCTTCGTTTTTCTGTTTGGCTGTACCCAACACCACTTGGGCTGACCCTTTGAGGAAAGGCCGGAGTGGCCCGCCTCCTAATTGATCCAGTGACATATACCAGTCTGGGACGCAAAACACAAGCACAGCAATACGCAGGGTTGGAACCCCGCCACATGGACATAAAGGTAAACACATATCTGGGATGAACAAATCAAGGCAAACGTTAATACTTCTCCCCTCCCTTCCTACCCCACACCGGTACTCTTAAATGTAAACACTACTGTCCACATTATTCACATGATCTCATTCTCTCCCCACAGTTCACAATCAGGGATACAAACTACATAATTGTCCCAACTATTCATGTGATCTTATTCTCTCCTCACAGTTCACAGTTAGAGATACAAAATTACACGATTGTCCAAATTATTCACGAGATCTCAGTCGCTGCAGAAGTTCACCCTTGGGTTTTCTGGTGGTTGTGGTTGTGGTGGTGGTGGTGGTGGTGGTTGTGGTTGGTCTGGTGGTGACCTCCTCCACCTCGTTATCACAGAGGAACCTGATGGCCGCCTTGCAGAGCCCCGAGCCCACCCTGCTCCGGCCATACACCACTTTGTTGAGGCCAAGGTAAAGGTCATAGTTGGCCACACCCCTGGCCTCTACGTCATCAGTCTGTCCGTTGAGGCCGAAGATTCCAGAACCTTCCAGATAGTTGAAGGCGGTGTCGGAGACCCACTGGACTTTCCCGTCTCTCACGATCAGCGTCAGGCGAGTGCTGGAGGAGGGGGGGGGAGAGAAATGGTACTAAGTTATAGACTATTTTACTACTTCACTGCTATGCAGACCTAAGTAACGTAGCTTGTGGTCTGTCCAACTTGTCCCCTGCTCGTTGTTCTGCTGATGTGCAGAGGATGTTGTAGAAGATGTAGCTGCAACCTCGCTACCCTACACGTGCCAAGTTGTATCTGCTCAGTACTACTAGTCTTGAGAAATTTGACGTTCAAAATTTGGAGTTTCACATTATGTCAAGCTTTTCGAATGCAATTCTTTAGATATATTGATAACGATTCCGAGAAATTTTACGATTTTTGTTGAGCAAAGAGAAGATTAGGTTTCAGGCTTCATGGTGTCAGTAACTCAAAACGGCCAAAAATGTCAGATAGAACTCCTGTCATATTTGACTTTGCCAGACACCGGCGAGAAAGGTTTGTTCCGCTCCATTAGGTGCACTAAAGGTTCTCAAAACATGAGTTCGATAAGCATAGCGTCCCGATTAAGTGAAGTAGGACGGACTTGCTTTTAAACGTGCTGTGCTCCCAGCTCATAGGATGTAAGCCTTTTAATATATGTTGCAACAATCGACTAGGATGTTTTCATCAGTAGGCCTATTAAATAAGGTATTATCTACAATACAGAGCTCTGGTGTTTAAAAATTATTCACCTATTGAGACAAATTGATGTAAGACACTGTGCAAAAGTTGGAGAGTCTATGTTCGACAGTTGAGGAGATATTTGACAATAAGTCGCGCCACGAATTTTTGACCACACTATAGTAACACCTCTCATCTTCGGCATTTGTTTGACTGTATTTTGTTATAATCAGGAAATTAACGACAAATGAAGTTTTTTGGACATCTGAATAGACATAAAGGACTTGAACATCTAGCTCTCACTGGCAAATTTGAAGGCGAACGAGGCAGGGATAGGCCCAGAGCAACCTACTTAGGGAACAAAACAAATGGATAACGTGGAAAGATCAGGGGAACGTAGCTTTTTTTAAAGAGCATCCTAGCAAAGGAATGAATGGAGAACCATGATCGCCGACGTCTGTCGCAGATCTGGCACAGGATGTGTTGCAAGTGCCGTACAACTCTTACAAAACTAAACTGTTGCCCCAGCCCATGATTGTGTTACCTGAAGGCGTTTAGGACGGTGGTGGGTGTCTGGTCGGCAGCGGCCACTTTGTCTCCGGGGTAGATGCGGAAACCGTTGTTGGACACCGTGTGGATCTCTGTGTCGTACTGGTTCGTGCCCGCGTCACCGTCTGGGGGGGGAGGTGGGGGAGGGAATACGAAGACTGGTTGAGGGTGATTCTCAGAATCACTACATTATACACATTTCTCCTTTTGTGGGTTTTTTTTTTTTGGTAAATGTTTTACGGCGCTCGAAACTGCATAAGGTCCCAGGAGCCCGCGGGACACACTAAACATTTTCAGTTGGTAGAAAATTTGGAATATTTCCCGGGTTGAGGCCTAAATTGTTGAGAGGACAAGAATGAGACTGGTGTTACATCGGTGGCTTTTAGCTTTCTACAGTTTGTTTATTTTATTTAGGAGGTGGGGAGAAATTGTTGACTCTTACAGACGTAGCCCTATTCCCTGTATCGTGCCGGCTCATTTAGTTATTCTTTTTTTAAATGTAGATCTTTCATTGAGCAAACAGAACTTTTGGTTTCAGGCTTCATGGTGTCAGTAACTCAAAACGGCCAAAAATGTCAGATAGAACTCCTGTCATATTTGACTTTTTCAGACACCGGCGAGAAAGGTTTGTTCTGCTCCATTAGGTGCACTAAAGGTTCTCAAAACATGAGTTCGATAAGCTTAGCGTCCCGATTAGGTGAAGTAGGACACAGTTTA